GCCTTGTCGGGTACATTGAATGGACCCATCTCTGAGTTATTTATGAAGGGAAAAACTACAGTGGCTTTTGAGAGCTTAACGGAATTTGCGAATGAACATAATCCGAAAACACATCATGTGACGCTTGAGTATGGGGTCTTGAAGTCCCCTAATCTCATGGCGTTTACCTGCCGGTGTGTGGAGGGTTGGGTAAATGCCGTATGGGGCGTCTGGTGTAGTGACGATGGGAGCCGTTGGGAGCAGTGTGGGCTGTGGCGTAGTCGTTTTGGCCATTTTAAAGCCTCGTGGAAACCCCGGGGCCCTCGACGGTACTGGCGCATTGAACTGCAAACGTGGGAGCCCAACGTGTTGTTTGAGAATTTCTACCTCTTTGAGTATTCTGGTCCTTCCATTGCTGTTGAGAATTCAACACCGGTCGGGGATGGATGGGATCCATCGATTCTGTGGGAAAAGAACTCCGCTGGAAGCAAAGTGACACCCATGACATTTTTGGCGCACGTGGGGACAGCACTGGTGTTTGAAAACAAGAAAGACTCTGCCCATGTTGTCGGTGTGCGCCTGGTGAGTCACGAGAAACAAAGTACATCCACCACGTTTGTTGTCGAATGCAGTTTGGACGCCGTAGAATGGCGAACACTCAATGTGTTCCTGTTACTACGTAATGGCTCCGCGCAAGCGGCATGGGAAAGTGGCGATTATTATCAGTTCTGGCGTCTTCGTATTGTGCAGCACACAGGACCATCCTTCCTTACACTTCGCGATATCTGTTTTGAAACTTTTAAGCCGACGCTTTACCGTGTCGTAGAAGCTAAAAAACTGAATACAGAAAGCCCCGGCTTCGAGTTATTTCACTTTGGAGCTGAGCCGAAAGAAATGGTTGCTGTACAAGTAGTGTTGCCGCCTGAATCCGTGTATATCGTGGAGAAACTCTCACCTGACGGTGCCGCTTGGGAGGAAGTTGCGATCATCCAGAACAGTGACACGACACAATCACGGACTGTGCGTCAGGGGTGGGTGCCGAGGGGGTCTTCTTCTTGTTGGCGTTTGCGTCCTGCTGTTCAGAATGTTGAAGAGGGTTATGTGGCGTCGTCTCCTTCTATTTCCACGGATATGAGCGCTCAGTGGTACAGTTTTAGTGGAAAGATGCTTGTTTCCTCAAAACTGAGTGATATCCCATTTGTAGGGGTTACCACGACCGGTTTTTTGGAGGTGCAGGCCCCTGGGCGTCTCACCGAAAATAAAACAGATACCGTGGTGCTACGCTCCATAGGGCAGCAAAAAGTAATGACGGTTACATGGTGCTTTGAGAAGGGCATAACGCCACTTTTTCATCAAGTGTTTTTGAGGGGACGCAGATTTACCGATGTGATCCGTTCAATGTCTCTGTCGTCTCTTTCACAACACAAGAAATCTACACATACGATGAATTCATCCACGAAAGCGTCAACACGTGCTGGGACGAATGTTCTTGCTGGTGCCTCAGAGGGAGAAGGGAATGGCAACACTGAAGGAGAAGCTGAAGAGGAAATGCAGAAAGAAGAAGACGGGAGTTGTATTACAATTGTGGTGGAGACAAGTGAGGATGGCGTGAACTTTGTCCCGATTGCAGAGCGTCCCTTCTCCCAACTGGGCAATTCTCTTTCATGGCCGACGAATGTAGCCTCCTCGTACTGGCGGATCAGGTTTAAAGGAATTCGAGAGGATGAGAACCTGGAGTTGCGGCAGGTCACCTGGTTTCAGGAGACTGGTGCCACTACCGCGTTGGCCCCACCAATACCATGCATGGCCAGTCACTCGATGTACAGCAAATGGCAGGACGCCGCCTTCAATTATGAGGAAGAGTTCTGTCAGAATTGCCGCGAAGGTTTTGATCAAGCGAGAAGCGTTTTGAGTGGTCTTCGGGAACCAAATGATATTGAGCGTCATGGACGTTTGGCAAAGGGTGTAATTCGACTGAGAGCGCGCTTTATGAATTTTGTTGCTAAGACTTCAAAAGAGGCTACAAAAGAAAGGAGCCCGCCTCTTGACAAATTTGTCTCCATTGGTCAAACATTGAGCAATGACATCATGTATCTACTTTACAAAGCCACAATAAATTACGGTTGTAATGTGGATGAACTAAATCAGCTGGTGGAACATCCAATGTTACTGTCTCGTGATTTTGTGCGTTCGGCTGATAATAATTCTTGGTTTTATCCAAAATTTTATGAGACAGGTACATTGGTGGAAAGCTTTTATGGCTTTCACAACGTACGTGCCTCCCTTACTGTCTTATGGAGTCTGTCAGTGCAGCTGCAGAAGAACACAGATCTTCTTTTTCACCCTTCTATGACTCCACTCAGTCCGCACCTGGCCTCTGTTATTATTACAATAAATATTGAGCGGGACAACTGGATCGCGGCGGAGCATTTTCCAGAACTTCCACTCCTTTACTACGCGGGATTTACAGAACGACCCATGGTGATTGTATTTGCCCTCAATCAGGTGAAATTTACCTCCAAATACAATTTGACGATACCCGGGGCAGCCTGCTTTCCTGCCACGTTTCCATTTAGGATACTTCCAGGGGTGAACTTTCTCCAACGCATGCCTCTTACAGCCTGCCCATTTCCTCTTTTTGATTGCCTTCAAATGATATATTCGAAGGAGTTTCTTGGGAATTACGAAACGGAGGTGGTGTTTACCTCGCCCTCGATGCATAGCAGCACAGGCCTTGTTTGCTTCACACTACCAGGAGAAGGTATTAACTTTTCCATACCCGGCTTGAAAATTGAAAGCATTGAATTTGAGGTTCAGCTTAATGTGGAGAGGGATATTGGAGAGGAAGGTAATACCGCGGTGATGGAGCAAACCGGTGCCGAGGATGACTTTTCCAAAGTGACGTTTTTTACCCACAACAGTGTATTTAAGGGTGCGGCTGAAGATCCACCTGTACAAATAACTCTTTTGGGAGCCTTTCATCAGACCGAAGACCGAATAGCGGTCCGTGGTGTGTCTCCCAGTGCGCATGTGCCTGTTCTTTGTCGTTTCCCGGACGCATTTATCACGGACCTGAACATCTCGTTTGATCTTGTGGCTGGAGAAGCACCACAGTCATTTGTGGAGCCCTTCTTCACGGTAGCGGGCACCCTGACGACACCGACATGCGGCAGCTACGATTGTCAGTTTTTTCAGGTACGCCTAAATCGTGGTCATGAGTCCATTGCGCTGCAGGTTGTGAGTTTGCAGCTGGCGAAATTCATTCACCTCGGGAATTATATGGTTAACTCTTTATCTCAAGTGCAGAACATGGATTGGCTGCGGAACGTTCCTGTCGCATGTTCATTTAATCTCAAGATGTGCTATTCTGAGTTAAGAGTTTTTGGAACTGGAACTATCTGTATTTTGGATTTTAGGGGAGATGCTTTTGCTATTATTTCTCCGGATGGCGTTGGGATTACGGCAACACTTCCCACCCTACGTTTTGGTGATATTCTTTTAAAAGGGAAGTCTGACAAGGAGTGTGTTGTAGTGAACATCGCTGCACCTGCTAGCGCCCCTTCCGTCATACGGATAGATGGATATAGTTCACTTCTTGCAACTCAATCCTACCCGACGAAAATTGAGATAACCCAGGAAGGGGTCATGTGCATCTCTACCGGCGTTTTTTATGACGTGTGTATTGAGGAAGAGTCATTTTTCCCATCAGGAGCGTACGCACAGGTGACAATATCACGTGGGGCCATCGCCGATTGTCTTAGTGAACTGTTACAAGAGACGCCTATGATTGTTGCCTTTTTGGCTACGGGAATTCCTTTCTCATTGGAGGTGGAGGAAGTGGTTGGCGAGGAGTGTTTGTTGGAAAGAAAGCTTCTATTCCTCACTGTGCGCGGTGTGCTGTTTGGATGCCGCTTTGATGTGATGACATCTGTGTTATCTCCAGATAACACCATAGAAGAAGCACGTCGAATTTGCCAGGATCTTATTCCCCGTATCGTGGAGCAGTGCGACGAGTCTCTCTGGGCATCGTATGAGTTGCTGGCTGGGTGCTTTTTGCCCCTGGGCTCACCAGAGAGAGAGAGGGCTGCTGAAGAGGGAGAAAAGGGAGCCGTGGATGAGGAGAGCGGCAAGAAGGATGAGGAAGCCGCGTTATCCCCTACTGGGCAACCTGCGCCAGAAAGAAATTCTTTAAAAGCAGAAAGTGGACAGTTTATTGGATACTGGATCGAGTGCGAGTGCGAGGCGTTAGATAAAGAAATCCAGGAAGACTTCGAGACTTTGGCCTGTGAAAACCCCAAATGGAGTTTCGTTTAGTTTGACAAGGAAGTGTGAAGTTGAAATATTTTGCTGTAACTGACACTCAGGCTGCAATGTTATCTGCACTTGAGAAGTGCCAGCTTATTTAGAGAGAGAGAGAGGATTAATATTCTTTTTGAAACCCCAGCAGAAATTGAGGGGAAAAAAAGAGGGTTGTTGATGGAAGACACAGACTCTAGCAGTGGTGTACGAAAGAATATACATGTAAGTATGTATGTATCTTACGCATATGGAAATGAGGTTGATGTCCTTATTTGGTGTAGATTGCTTAGTACCATTGATCTTACATTGTGCGTGCCAATATTTTGTAGACTTTTGTTTTGCTTTTTTTCTGGAAAGGAGGGTGTTGTGTCCGGCTTTCAAAGGGCGTTTACTTCACCTGTAAGGCAGACAAAACTACATCAAAATAGTATAAAAAAAAAAACGTGTGAGAAGGGAAAAAAGTTTGGATTTTTGTTTGTTTTTTTATTCTCAATTTGATGGAGTCGTCGGTGTCTTCTTTGATGGACCACCTCAATGGTGTGGAGACACGCCGTCGTGTTGTTATGATGAAGCGCAAAGAAGCCGAGACGCGACTGGCCTTTTCCACTGAGGAACAGCAGCAGCTGGAACAACAGACAGCACAGAATGAGGTTCGGGCAGTGGAGCTGAAGAAAGAGCTGGACCACCTCCTTGAGGAGCAGCGGCAGCTACAGCTGCAGTTAATGGCCGGCATGGACACAGTCCGTCAGAG